TCTTTTTTTTCCAGAAAAAATGTAATAAAAAGCACCAACAACAGATTGCTGCTATACCCTAAGAATGCTTTTGAGAACATTTCTTTGCTCCCTAGATTTCTTGAAAGAGCCAGGAACCACTCTGGGGTCTTAAACAGCTTTTTAGAATTGAGAGCGGCTACACTATGTCCTGATTTCTTGTACTCAAGAGTCTGTGGGGGAAGGGAATGTCTTAATCTGGTTGTACTCCTTAGAGACTCACCAGAAAATCTGTCTAAATGCCCAAATGAACATTTTGAGCACTGTGCTGTTCCTTTAATGTTATTTAGAAGGCCCTTCCTCTGACCAAAGTAGGAATACCAATGTGCTGTTTCAAGTAGTGAAAGGCCACTCTCAAATATGAACACAGTAACACCATCACCACAACTAAATACTCCAGTTACCTGATTCTTAAAAGAATTGTTTCTCGTAGTTGCCAATGCCACGGCTAGGGCAGAGCAAACTATTTGAGTGGTACAGCTCATTTCCTCAGGCCCTTATGCTACCCCTCAAGGCCCTGTACTTACCAGGATGGGAAACTCTGCCCCTCCTAACACTCCCTCCTAATTTTTAACCTAAGAGATTGCTTCTGGGCAGATGTCAGACCTCTGCAGAGTTCCAAACCAACAACAACAAAAATAACAAGCTGAGGTCATTGCGTGAAAACAAACAAACAATAACAACAACAACAACAACAAAAGACTTGCAATAAAATGGAGCCCAACTGGTAATGGATTGCCAAAAATGTAGATCAAGACATAGCACCAATCAATACAAACAACATTTAAATATCGGTTGATTAGTTGCAGGCTCAATCAGATGCCTACACAAGTGTTAAGAAGGAAGAAAATTCTTAGGCCTTTCTGAAGTCTCCGAAGAGAAGTTGGCTGAGGCCTAAGAAGATACATAATCACCTGTTCAGCTCTCAGCGATCTTGACATAGACTAGATTATTCAAGGAATGTAAATGAATGTGTCAAGAGGGAAGAGGAAATAGTACACACATAAAAGGGAGAAGGATAATGGAGACAATCAGAAATGCCTTTTACAGTTTCAATCTAGCCAGCATCTCACGCCATAATGACAAGGACATAGTGTACCTTGGAGCTGATTTTCCAAAAACCTTTACCAGAGCTGCCCATGCTCCGTGGACCCCTCTCTACCACCAATCAATGACAAATTTCACTTTGAAGTGTCTTTCCCATTGCTAATGCTGTCCTGATTTCCTCTCCATCCCTTATGATAACAAGGCTCTGCTCCTCCAGTTTGCTGTCTCCTCCTTCTGTCGCCTGCATTTCTCCCAATCCTCTTTCCACTCTGTAGCTAGAGCAGTTTCCCAAGACACATTGTGTCTGTCTTAGTTAGGGTTAATATTGCTGTGTGGAAACACTATGACCAAAGGAACTTGGGGTGGAAAGGGTTTATTTCACTCACAGTTCCATATAACTGTTCCTTATCAAAAGTCGTGAGGGAGGCTGCAGCACTGGGGAAAGCAGGCCTTGTACTCGCCTGGGAAGCACAGGAGAGTTGTCCCTGATGTTGTGGGTACATGTGAATGGACCCTCATGTGATGGTGTGGGCAAGGGAGAGATAGATTCTCATCTTGTCCCTTGTCTCTTGCCACCTGCGGCAGGTGGGAAAAGCTGGTCCTGGGGGTCACTAGAGCAGGAGAGCTGACTTTCACTTTGCTACAGCACACACAAGAGCAGGCTTTGCACCTCACCCTGGTAGCACAGTAGAGCTGACCCTGTTAATGGGTGAAGGGGACACAGGTGATCAACCCCCAAAAGTTTATGGGAGACCTGGCCCCACCCCTCATCTGCCATATGGTAGAGTGGGTGAAAGAGAGAAGACTCCCCCTGTCTTTGGTGGTGGGAGATCTGGCCGTGGGGTCATGAGAGTAGGAGAATTGGCACCGAACCTCATCAGGGCAGCACAGTAGAGCTGACCTCTTGGCGGGTATGCCAGGGGCTGGGGGGTGCAGATGAGCCTGCCCAGAGGGCTTTAGAGCAGGAGAGCTGACCCCATCCCCCTCATCACCCATGTGGTAACATGAGTGACATGAGTGAGGGAAAGATTCTCTCCCCTCACACCCCTCACCACCTGCCATAGGCAGGAGAGCTGGAGACCTGGTCCTGCCCCTCACTGACTCCTCGTATAGGGAGACAGGCTTTGTACCTCACCTGGGGAGCACACTAGAGCTGACCCTTCAGTGAGGGTACAGGTGAACCAGTACCTGTGGACAAAAGAACAGGAGAGCAGCACCTGCCCCTTCTCTCATATGCCATGTGGTGGCATGGGTGGGGGAAAATACCCTCTTCCCACCCCTTGCCAACTGCGGCAGGTGGGAGAGCCAGCTTCCAGGGTGTGAGAATGGAAGAGCTGGCTCTGTCCCTCACCAACTACAGCAATCCAGAGAGCAGTGAGCAGTCTATACATCTCGCCTGGGCAAGACAGTAGTGCTGGCCCTGGTGGTGTGAGGGCTGGAGAGCCAGACCTGAAGGTATGGGAGCAGGAGAACTGGCCCTGCTCCTTACTGGGTCAGTGCTGGAGAGTTCTCCCTGGTGGTGACTGAGGGAAAGCTGGTGGGCTAACCAATCCAGCTACCACCCAGACTCAGAACCAGGGCTATGAGTTATCCTACCCCAACATCTATCTCATCTATGAATGGCTGGGGTATGTGAAGGGGCCAGAACTGCAGATTCAAAGCTCCAGGGTCTCCATGACACAGGACAACAACAGGATATCCAGGAGGAGTCCCAGCAAGGGCCCAGTATCAATAGGATAGCAGAAGCCAGAGGTCAAACCAACGAGCATTACAAAGAACACTTACAAGTAAAGACGTATGGATTAAGGGGTATCCAGTGTGACTCACTGGGCCACAGTACAGCTTCCACACCAAGATTTTTGTTTTGTTTTGTTGGGGGGTATCATGTCACAGGGGCAGAAGGTAGAGGCAAGGGGGTGGGGAGGTGAGTGGGATTTTGATATGAAATCTACAAGAATCAAAAAAAAAAGTTTATAGTAGTGAGGGCAGGAAGTTAGGCAAGGCAAGAACCTGAAGGCAGAGCTGATGCAGAGGCCACAGAGGATGCTGCTTACTGGTTTGTTCCTCATGGTTGTTTAGCCTACCTTCTTATGGAACTCAGGACCACCAGCCCAGGACTGGCACTATCCATAATGAGCTGGCCTTCCCCCATCAATCACTAATTAAGAAAGTGCCTTACAGGCCTGCCTACAGCCTGATCTTCTGGTGGCACTTTGTTAATTGAGGTTCCCTGCTCTCAGATGATTTCAGCTTGTGTCAGGTTGACACAAAGCTATCCATCACATTGTCACAGCCTTCCTGCCTGAACTCTTCCATGGTTGTCTACTCCAGCCAAAGGCAGACGTCAAAGCCTGCAGCCTATAGGCCTCAGTTCCTCCATGTGGTGTCCTACTCGGTCTGTGCTGTTTTGCGGATTAAACACTAGAAGGTTCTGATTCTCAGTTACTCCACACTTTTTCAATTGGAATCTAGCAGGTTGGCCCACAGGATGTGGCACAGCACAGAAGCCAAGAGACATGAAAGGTACAGATGGGCTTTAACTCCCTGGAAGCTCCAGCTTGTCAACTTGCCCTTCTGTCTTATAGCTTAGTGTGTGACTTTCCTGCGTTCAGGCTCCCTTAGATGATTAAGGTTCTGGGTGGTAGGACCCTGCTTGCTGCTCAGGAGGGCTTCCTCTGACAACTTCCCACTCAAAACACAATGTCAGATCTACGTTTCTCTTTGAGGACTGTTTTCACAGCCAACAAGCCACTCCTTCAACAGAATTTCTGTGTCCACTTCACACTGCACTTGTGCTTGCTTTGCTGGTTCATACAGGACAGGCAGATTCAGACACTTACTCTTGGCCAAACCCTGAGACTTTGGAAAACAGCAGATAGTTGCCAGAGGCATTAGCACAGAAGCCAAAGCACCCAGCATCTAGCGTCCCTTGGGCTCTGGCTGGCCTCATGCCCTTCTCTTCCCACTGGAGGCATAAGATGGTTAAATGTCTCTGCTTATGGAGGGGGCTCTTCAGCGACCTGTGGTGGCCCTCACAGGCTCCCTTCCTGAGCACTGTACTCAAGGCCCAGTAGAACACCCTCTGTGCTCTTCCTGCATTGCAGTGGCCTCTCAATGACTCCCACATCACATGGATGGCAATCACTGTGCCCTATCTCACAGAGTCCTGCTTATGTGTCTCTCTGTGTGCAATTCAAAGGCCCTCACTTGCCTCAACGACTAAAGAGGTAAGGCATGTTGGGTTCAGGAACACAGTTCACTGGACCAGTGCTTTCCCACGATTTGATAAATCCCAGGTTTAATTCCCTTATCTCCCCCTTTAAATTTCTATTGTTTATTCTGAAACAGCCAGCTATGACAGCAATTGTTCCCACACCATATGTCTCTAGCCTCATGTATCCCTCTTTCTTGTAGGTTATTCAGTGGCAGTATCCCCAACTGCCCTGCCATGCAGTGTTGATGTCTGTGCCCCACATACAGGGCTAATTCTAGGGGTCACCTGTAGGGGAAGCTGTAGCCACGCCTACTTAGGGGCTGGCTACAGGTGTGCCTGACCATGCTTGTGAGGACGTGGTCAGGGTGAGACTTTCAGGGGACTGCGTTTCTCTTTCGGTTTCACTTTTGTACTTGCTGGACAGACTGCTGCCACACCGGCTGGCTAGGTTGCTCTGTAAGTAAGGCTTTTCCCTATTAAATACCCTTGTATTTCTACCTGACTCCATATTGGTAATTTCCCTCTATAGTCACCTTTGGCCGGGATCACTGTACAGCTCCCAGTCTTTTTCCATTCCTTCCATCCCTCACAAATGCTCCATAAGGCCTTCTGTATTTTTGCATGGCAATTTCACTCCCTGACTTTTGCTGAGCACTCACAGGTATCCCTCAAATCCCATTGCCCCCATCCCAGAAGGTCTTTAACAAGCACATCCTCTGACCTCCAGCTCCTGTAACTCTTCTTCCTCCTCCACATCATAGGACAGGGTGTGGATCTTGATGTCATCAGCTGAGAGGTCGATGAATTTCCCATCGGGGTACTCCAGGCTGTCTTTGGTGGGCGATCGGTCCTCAATGAAGGTGGTCTCACAGCAGTCAGTGGCCATGCCATCCCCCCAGGAGCGGAGCACCCCATCTGAGTAGAGGATGATGTTGGGACGATAGTGGGACTCCACAGACTGCTGCAGTGTGTTTGGGTCCAGCAGCTGCTGCACTGGCTCACTTCTGCCTCCTTCCAGGCTGCTTGGTGTTGCACTGGCCACCAGCCTATGGCTCTGGTACTGAGGTGCTGGGTAAACAGACACCAGGCCATCCCTGCTCTCAGCCATGAAGTTTCTGGTGTTAATTAAGCCATTTCTTTTGCCAGCATCACTGATCTTACTGTGTACCAGAACACTCTTCTGCTCAATGATGCCATCCATGGTAGACTCCCTCCTGCTGGGTGTCAGGCTAGCAGGCTGCGCTCACTGGTCACACAAGCCCCATAGGACCCATTTCCCTGGAGGAGCAGGAAACAGAGAAGGTAAAAATTATGCAAAGCTCATCACACAGACACACATTGCATCAGAGCTTACTAGTCATCTGGCATGCATAGTAGCTATGGAGTCAGATAAATACAGTCCATCCCATTCTGTGAATTTTCAAAGGGCCCATTAGTGCGCCATCCAGATGAAGCCAGAAATCGATTGCCTGCATCCCTATGAAGTCTTTGTTTCCAAATGGGGGAAGCTGCAGGAACTGGATCTACTGCAGTCCTACAGAAGCCTCTGTCTGACAACAGACATCCTGAAACTGAGAAACTCAATCGCATTAGCATCCCAATGGTCTACAGAGAAATAGAATTGTATGTCTGTAGTGGGGATCGATTATTCCAAGTATACAACCATTCATTCAAGCAGGAGAACACACCAAGGGAAGACACTTTAAAACCACACTCTGCACAGACAAAAAATTAATGACAGGAAGACTGTGCCACACTGTGGACACAGTTCCACACTGAGGACATAAGTCATGAATATACCAGTGCACTCCTGTGTACCTAGTAGGATGAGCACTGCACTCATAAATAATGACTGACTCCAAATTGTTTGCCCTTAGAAAATTTTATCTAGGCTTGCACAATGTAGAAAGAAAGAGAAGGAGGAAGGAGGGAGACAAAGGAAGAACCAAAGAGACCAGAGCTTAAAGTTCTAGGAAATGTAATGCTAGCATTTCTGCAGATTGCATGTTAATAGCCATTATATAAATAATAGCATCTTGTATGGGCTGAGGAGATGGCACAATTAGAAAATTGCTTGCTGTGCAAGCATGAGGACCTGAGTTCGATCCCAAGAACCCAAATAAAAGAAAAAAATGCTAAGTGTGGTGGTACAGCACATTTAATTCCAGCACTATGGGGGCAGAGACAGGAGGGTCTCTGGAGCTTGCTGGCTAGACAGTCTCACTGAATAAGTAAGCTTCAGTTTCAGTGAGAGACCCTGTCTCAAAAAACTAAGGTGGAGAATGATGGAGGAAGCTCCAGCGTTCACACACATACACACACATATGGAGACATATACACATATGGATATACACACAAAAGCTTCATCTCATGCTCCTCTAGCACTAACATTTTCTATAACATTTAAGTATTTTCTAATTGTAGACTTTTTATTGTATGTGGTGGTGGTAAATACAGTAATCTAAAATTATACTCCGAAGAAAGGAAGAGTGATGGAGAGGACCTTTGTACCTAATTGAAAATTCTGAGATCAGATTCAAATAGCGAGGTCAGACTACAGCATAAGCACTGAGAGATAATAAGAATTATTAATGTGAAACCATGTGCAGCTTAGAAAGGGGTCACAATGCACCATCACCTCTGCTTATGCAGTTTTGGCATGTCTATCTCTGGAGATGTTGTTACCATTTGAGAACTAAAATCTTCAATTAAACTACTTGAAGAGAGATTTTGTTAGGGTGACTGTAACACACACCAAGGGTAACATGTTTGAGGACCACCTTTATCTTCATGTCTTCCAGGAAACCACAATGTGCTTCTGGGATATTTCTCGTCCAGGCTTTCTCCTTCTACAGAGTAGGCCCTGGCCTGCTCTCCTGACTGAGTCCCTTGTATCATTGTGGTGTAGTGGGTGTACTAACAAGCCTACAGAAATCCTGAAGACCTAGCTTCTCAGCCTGAGTCCCATCTACCCAGACCTTGCTAGCAGACACTGATTACATTTGTTCAAATACAACCTTTCAGCATCTTCCAGTGCTTATGCTGTAGTCCTCTTGGACAACCAGAAGGAACATTTCCTTTGGCTGGAGAGAGCCCAGCACCTCTTCTTGACTTTTCCCCTTCTGATTCCCACTGCATTCTTCTGGGCCAGTTTGACAACTTCTGAGGTCAGCATCCTTCTACCCAGACTGAAAGTTACGACCAAGGAATCAGTGGCATATTTTCCCTTTCTTGCACAAGGTATGGAGCCAGCAGTCAGGGACTGTATGTTGATGTAAACTGTCTTCAGAATTATGCAATTGGAATAAGCCCTAGTGTTGACTCCTTGAGTTGGCCATGCACTAGAGGTGGGTTCAATATTAAGATGCTTAGAGGCAGATATGACTCTGTTTCTTTCATAGTCCCTGTTGCTCAAAGTGTTGCTGACACACAGAAGACTCAGTGAAGCCTGGGATTTGGTTAGAAACGTAAAAGAGACAAGGTATAGCTCAGGGAGACAGCACACACTTAGTACACATCATTTCCTGGGACGGTCCCCTGCTCTACACATATGCACAGAGGACACATGCATAGCAGAAATGGCAGCAGATACATATCCTTTGAATCACATCCACATTCTTATAAGATCTCTGCATCTCAGTCAGCACATTTAGGCTTAAGGCTAGGTGAAACAGGCAGTAAGTAGTAGTGGGGGACTTACACTATTCTATAGCAGTGTGACAAATTGCTGGATTTTATGGTTGTTTATTTACTCTTTTTGTTGTTTTATTTGAGATTATCCCATAGCTATAATATTTTCTCCTTACATTTCCTCCCTCCAAACCCTCCCATATACCCCTTCCCAATCCCCTTCAAATTCATGGCCTCTTTTTTTCATTAGTTATTACAGGCATGCATATTATAAATATATGTTATATTTATACAAATATGTTCATAGAAACAATTTTGTAAAGATATTTATATACATAATGTTTATGTAAATAGTCATATATTATATATAATACAAATATAACCTGCCTTGGCCATATAATGCTACATGTATGGATGCTTTCAGGGATGACCATTTGGCACTAGACAACAAATTGGTGTTCTTTTCCCTGTGGAAAACTACCTCTCTTGCTCCCAGAACAAGACATGAAAGTAGGAGTGAGATTAGCTAGAAAGAAGAAGGGTTCCAGTAAATGAATGAGGAAGGGAAGAAGGGAAGCAAGAGAGAGCCATGGATTTGAACAAAACACATGGTTTTGGTATACAAGTGTGAAATTATCAAATATGATTGAACACATACATACATTTTTTAAAAATAAAAAGTAGAGAAATGTGAAATCTGAAACACTTCAGGTCCCACGCATTTTTCAAAGTTTTATTATTTAATTGTGTATATTTATGCATATGAATGAGAATTCAGGCATCCCCAGAAGATAGAAGAGGAAGGCTGGTCACCTAGCCCTGGAGTTGCAGGAAGTGTAAGCTGGCTAACTCGGTGTTTAGAGCTGAACCTTGATCTTCCATAAAAACAGTAAAAAACTCTGAGCCATCTCTCCAGCCCCAAGATGTAGTCTACAAATAGATAATATTAATAGCTAAAATGCCTGGGACTGCTTTTAAAATAATCTAGATAGAAGGAGTGAGTACTGACAATGAAATCACACTGGTGATGAATTGAGAATTCATGAAATTGGTTGATGAGATATGTGGTCTGCTATATAATTCTATCTAGTTCTTTGCATGCCTGCAATTTTCTATAATAAAGAAGATCTTTTACCACTTGGTGAAGCTGTGTGTGTAAGGGACATTGCAGATAGAGGGAGCAGCATTAATCCAAAGCCAAGGTGTCTGTGTGTGTGTGTGTGTGTGTGTGTGTGTGTGCTGGTGGTGGTAAGTAAGCAGAGAGAGGACCAAGACACATGGAGGAAGAAGGCTGCAGTCTTCTGTGGGGCTTTTACTTGTTTGTTTTTCAGTGCTGGGTATCTAAGCCTGGATCTGGTCCATCCTAGAGAATGTATCACTAAACTGTATCCCAAACCCTACTTGGAGGCTCTTGAGTCCCCGTGTAAGGAGACAACCAGCAAATTGCAAAGGCTTTTGAGTGAAATCACATACCATTTAAGACTATGGGTCTGTGAGCAGTGTGCGGAATGAGTACCAGGAAAAGTATACAAACACAGACCTGCTACTCCATGGTAATACCAGCTCTACCACTCAGCTGACTTCAGGGCAGCGAAAAAATATTCAGAAGCATAGCATATCCTACAAGTCCCTTTGATGTTACATGACCTAAGAGAGCCGTGGCAATGCTGCTGTGTACTGTGTGTCCCACCTATGTGAAAACAAGTAATGAGGCAAGCCCAACTGTCTTCTCCCTTGTGGTTAATGCCAGAAGAGCAGTCCCCCAGTTGCTCTTACTCTTTAGGGGACAAAACTACCTGCTGGAAAGACTCACTTGAGCCTCTTCAGTCCTCTGTCATGGACAGGCTCCTGGTGTTGGAGGCAGGTCAGTTCATAAAAGACAAACTCAAAGCATAGCCGGTCCAAATCCAGTTTCTACTAAGGTTAATAAGACAACTGTTTATCTGAGACTACTTCTGAAGAATCACTGGAAATCTTTTATGAATTTCCTCCCCTAGAAACCCACCAAAATAAAAGGTGACAAAGGACCACAGAACACAGCTGAGTGGCCGGAGGCAGAGTTCATGCCCCTCCCTTCCCTCCTTTGCTTGTTTTCTTTGTGGCTTATTTGGTCATTTATTACCAATGCTTCTATTGCTGTTAGTCTAGACTTAGACTTTCCACTTAGATCTCCTCCTGTCGCCAGTTTCAAAATGTCATTTTCCATGCTTCATCCCCCGGATGCCATTCAGAGACCAGGTCCTGTTCTTGGTCCTGGTGATGCCACTGAGACTCAGCTCACTCTGTCCGGCTGGTCAGAAGTTTTATTTACAAATCAGAAATATGGTACTGAGATGTTCTTTTACTGTCCCGTATGAGATAGGGGTCTCTCTCTCTCTCTCTCTCTCTCTCTCTCTCTCTCTCTCTCTCTCTCTCTCTTGTGTGTGTGTGTGTGTGTGTGTGTGTGTGTGTGTGTGTGTTGGGGGAATTACTTTAATTCATCAAAGCATAATTAATAGAAGAGATGTTTATAAAATATCTCTAGATTTATTCATGTTGGCACATTTAAAAACACATGAACAATGATACTTG